GTTTTCCTCCGCTTTAATCTACACAACCGGAAATGGACGAGCATCCTTACGTCAAATGCGGAACTTATGCGTGCATATAGCCCATTGTGTGACGTCATCACATTTTTGAATGGATTTTTAGAACAGATAAGTGAACCTAAAAATGCAATTTTCAGCTGAGTGTATTTTCTTAGCCCTCACTTTTGAATGCAACTTTCAAATTACTTGACAAAAAATTACATCCTGAGAAACGTGGTTTTTGGGGGTGAAACCCCATTGACTCCCATTCATTCTGCACTCGACCGCAAGCGCCCCCGCATTACCGCATTACCCCGCGTTACAGCAGCCAGTCCAGAACCCGGAGGTGACCAGCCAGTGCCTATTCTCTTCAATTAGACATTCTCTGGTACTCCCCCGTTGGTGAGAGTAGATGGAGTTAAAAGTGAGGAGATGTGGTGAAGGTGGGATGCTGATAAAATGTCAAGGAACAAAGGTGGGTTCTGTTGTTATTTATCTTGTCCTGAGTTGATTACTGATTGATCTCCACTTGTGCTGATCGGGTTAATTATCTGCACCTGTGTAGCACTCCTGAAAGGGAGCAGGTTTATCAGTGAAAAGTCAGACGAGATGCCTCATTAAAAGAGTTTTTACTTAGAATTGAATCTTGGCAATAAATGATTAATTATTACACAACAATGCATGAGCTCTATTATTTATCCTTTAGATCAACGCATCCCAAGTTCACTGTGAATAAATGAGTGCACTTAGTAGTGTGCATCCTAAAACAGCGACACTGTCTATATTCACAAGCCTCAATCTCACATAAACACACGTGAAAACACAGATCATATATCAACCTTTAACTAAATAGGGCACGTTACATAAATTCAGCCGTATCCATTCAATCACTCTACTGATAAACAACACATAAACGATTTACGCGCGAACCGCGTGCTCTCCGGCTGAAAAATCTTGCATTTCACATTGGATTCGCCCCGTATCGTATTTAACTCAACAATACAACACAATATCCCTAACCTATCAAAAATAGGTTTAGTCACTAATATTCAGATGAGTGCAAATGTACGGTTCATGTACCTGAAAGGGAGCAGGTTTATCAGTGAAAAGTCAGACGAGACGCCTCATTAAAAGAGTTTTTACTTAGAATGAAGCGTCTCGCGAGAACTCCCCACCACCCAGTGCCCGCGCACACACACGACCAATCAGATGCACTCATCCCAAGCATGCCATCACTATGTTTTTAACCTCAAACAAAATCAGTAAAAATATGAATTAATGCAGAACATTAACATTTTATAATTATTTAAAGTGAAGACTGAATTAAACCTCAGGTGAAAACATACAGTCTTGTTCACATTTTACTCAGCATATTACACCTGCTCCTCCCGAACCTTAATAAAACATAATTTTGTATCACTTCACTTGTTTTTCACATCATTATGTCAGTAGGTAGCAAAAATTGAATGGCTGAATGATTCATTTAACTGATTCGTTCAAACACACTGTTTTATTTAACCCGATCTCCCTAGCAAAGCAAACACCACCCTTAAATCTTGCTGTCAAAATGTAAATGCAATGAATTAGCCACCAATTCGCCATCATGTAAAACAGTTGCGAATTGCCATGCCAGTGTATTGGTTTTATTCAGCAATAAAACAAAAGACTCTCTTTATGAGTTATTGAATCATTTACTAAACAATTTTATTCAGGAATTAAATATTTTATTCATATGCGCAAATGCTGGTTGTTTTATTTGTTTAGTTACTCAATATTATTATTTTTTTATTCAACTAAAATGATGCAACACTCTTGCTTGTAGCTATTATATTGCTGAACTTGTAATGTTTATAATTTCACATTCACTTTTAATGTGTGAGGTTCTAAAAACATTTCACTCCTTTAACTTTTTTCAACACTTATTTGCATCTGCATTTGACAAAGAATAATCATTGGACTTCCTGCAGTTCCACTGTGGACCTCCTGTAGAAGACTTTTTCATCTTATGCAAAATACAGATAAAAAAAAAATCAGTAGATCTATGAATGAATTCAACTGAAGGGGAAATGTTTTTAAACAATTGTTGACTGAAAACCTGTGAATAGCGGTGGACAATATAGATTTTGCAAACAGAATATTCCTGATTTTTTTAAATAACAGCACAGGCAGAAAGCAGTTCTTTTTTTTTTTTTTGTTGCCGCTCTCATATTCCTCCTCATAATATGTTATTAGCCTCAGACCGGTTTCCTACTGTGCTTAAAAACTGAAAGCTACACTACATGAAGTTATTAGGTAGACATTATTGCATATGAAGAGTTCAGATGCAAAAGCCTCTAATTGCCATTTGAAATTTTCTTCTAGAATGATAATTTTTATCAAGCTTGTTTAAGTTCAGTAATTTCACTTAAATGACAATTCATAGGTAATCTTCATCCCCATTTAAGTAAAAGTAATTAACTAAAATATACAAGCTTGATAGAAATGATCATTCTAGAAGAAAATTTCAAATGGCACTTAGAGGCTTTTGCATCTGAACTCTATATATATTAAAGGCAAATTACAGCAATGGATCATAAATAAGGACAAATGTAAAATATTCAGCTTCTTAAACATTCCATGTTTTGGTGTAAATTGTTCTACAAGAATGATTTTAAATGATTTTAATTTTAAATGAAGCCCTGTTACAACCCCCCAAACACACACACACACACACAAAAGAAAGCCAAAGAGATAGATAAGATTCATGTGTTTTTATACAAACATTTTTTTATTTAAAAATCTAAAAAGACCTATTACTGAGATATTTTATTTTTGTCCACTTTTTTAAACCTAAAACCCTGTTAAACCATCTTCATGGAAAAAAAAAATTCCCATATCATCTGTATTTTGACCTCAGCAATGCTGATAATCACCATTTTCTGAAGTCTGATAAAACTATTTTTGTGCAGAAAGAACTAATTACATATTTCAGCCGGGTTCTGTTTTTTGTTTTTCTATCCCTTGATATTACACACTCTCACTGTATTACACCCAGAACATAATGGCAATGCACATAAATAGCACATATCTGCACATAATGACACAAATGTGTCTGATGGAACTGGGAATAATCACTAAATCCATGTTTTCTGACATTCTTTAATGCAAGCTATATGCATGCATGCATTTTACACTCCACTTTAACTGAATTTTGTTGATACAAGTCAGCCAATATCAGCCTTTCAGCTAATTATCTACTTTCTAGCTACCAATTAGCCAACTGTAGATACTGTCCACAGCATAACCTTTAAGCATTGAGTAAAGCAATGCAATTAGTTTCAGATATTTGGATAGTTGTGTGGTGAATGGCACCAGGCCGCCACTCTTTGCGTGTAAACGTCAATTATAATAGTTAATAGCAGCCAAGAATCATTTTAAGACATGCACATAATGAAGAATGCGAGCCATCCTCTAGAGCAGCCTGACAAGTATACGTATACAAAACAGTGTGCTGCATTCTACTGCCATCTGGTGAACAAAACTCTACTCAACAGTCTGTTGCTCTAGGCTTTATTGTTTTACACTATCATGTTATTTATGAGTATTCAATCCTTATAGCTGTTAACCCCATAAAGCTTCTGTCGTCTGATTAATAGATTATACTTTTAGTAAGAATGTCCCCCAAGTCGTGGTAAACGTCTTTTTGTGATTAATTTCTAAAAAACGTTATGAAGTAAACACTAATTACTTTTATATAGACTTACTGTACTAAAGCAACTTATGTTTACTTGATTATTCATACATTACAGATTACATCATTATGATACATTTTTGTTTTTTGTACATCTCTTAATCATGATTGTATTGAATTGCATTATACAATAAAAACTATAGAGCTTTGATCAAAAAACTAATTGAATTTTTGTCTTATCTTATAGTAATATCTGATATTTATATGCATGTTATGCAAGTAGTTACACTGTTACAAATGTCTCTAATTTACATTAATGCTATCAGAATTTCACCTTATTTAAAATAAATAAATAAATAAATAAATTACGGTTTGACAAAATTGTTTCACATTCTGACTATTGCACATTATAGGCTAAATTTTCATTACTAACATTAACAAAAACAGTCATTGCACATTGGCTGCAGGGATGGTTCACCAAAAGATAAATAAATAAATATATATTTTTTTAAAATTAAAAATAAATCATCATTTACTCGCCCACAATGTCATTCAATCTGACTTTTTCTTCTCCAGAACAGAAAATAAGGTATTTTCACAAAGATTTTAAAAAGGTAAAGATAAAAAATGTCTTTCTTCACCAAACAATGATGGTCCAATATTGTTAGTTTCATTAAATGGACAAAGACTGTCAAATATTTTTCTAAACTTCCGTATTTGAATGTTTACAAACTACTGTTAAACATCAGATCAATAAAAAAAATCCATAAATTAAATATAAAACACAGGCTATGTGAGTTCAGCTAAGATTTATTCAATGAACTGAAGCATAATCAAAATTACAGTTACGCATTTATTGAAGTTAAAGGGATACTCCACTTTTTTTTTTTTTTTTGAAATAGGCTCATTTTACCACTCCCCCAGAGTTAAACAGTTTGGTTTTACCGTTTTTGAAACCATTCAGCCGATTTTCTGATATTTAGAAGAATATCAGTAACCAGACAGTTTCTGGTCTCATTGACTTCCATAGTATATTGTTGTCCTACTATGGAAGTCAATGAGACCAGAAACTGTCTGGTTACTGATATTCTTCTAAATATCAGAAAATCATCTGAATGGATTCAAAAACGGTAAAACCAAACTGTTTAACTCTGGGGGAGTGGTAAAATGAGCCTATTTCCAAAAAAAGTGGAGTATCCCTTTAAGGAACAAACGGATGTCAATATGGAAAATAGAGAAGGCACAGATCGACAAAATATATGCATAGCATCTGCAATAATTAATAATGTTTCTGATTCGAATTCAGATATAAAATGTTTTTTTGGAGTGAATAGTTTAGTGAACTCATTCAAAGTGATTGACAACACTTGAAGGAACCAGCAGAAGATCTCGATTATGAATTATAACTGAATTTATATAACTGCAACACAGGAAAACTATTAATTAAATTCAGCCTTAATTGCAAACAAATAAATAAACAACATATGGTTAAATTTCCTCAGTTACACAAGTGGACAAGGTAAATTAAAAAGAAGTAAATGTTTTCCCACTGATTAAAAACATTAATATTAATAATAAAAATAGCACATGTATTGAAGAGCTTGGAACCGGTACCATACGGTAAGTTTAAATCAAAGATCTTTGGTTTCACAACAGAAAATCTTTCAACACTTTTGTAATGTCAACAGGCAAAGGTCCTGGTTTGAGGAAAGTATCAGATTACCTGAAATTCAGGAAACAATTCTGCAAACTGTTATTGCTTGTTCATTATTATTATCAATCGCAGTTTGTCACAAGTATGTACATGTGCTCAACAGATCGATCTCAAGCTTTGTAAAGAATGCCTGGTCAACATCTGGTCGACTATAATATAAAAACAAACATGTAGCATAAAACAATCAGATTGATTAATCTAACAGCCAATTCAGATGAAAAACTTTAGTTTATGATAAAAAAAGAACAAATATGTAGTCAATATTGACCAGTGAACTAAAAATTAACTATATATATCCAGTGTTGGTACAAAGGCCTTTCATAAGCAGAAGTATACATACAGAAAAATATTTCTTTATTAAGGCATTTCTACAGAGGTAATTCTATAGGGTATTTCAGATAACTACTAAATATAAAAAAACACTATCCTTCATAAATGAAACACCCTGTTCAGGTAAAAAGTGCGTATAGTGTAAATGTCTTTGATTGATTTGAGACACAACAGACGTAAGGCCGCATCAACAGCAATAAAGCGTTGAAGGAAGGAATTAATGAACGCAGTAGTCAAGATCGAAACAAAGCACTTCAGAGAAGGAAAATATTCAAATAAAAACTTAAGACTTTAATATATAATGCATTAAGAAGTCCTCTCTTTGCCCAAACGGAAAGGTGCACAGAAAGACAATGAGGTGCACAATAAATAGGACGTGTTTGTTGTTGGGAAGCTTTTTGGAGGGAGATCGTACCTTGATCCAATCAGAAAAAAAAAAAAAAAAAAAAAAAAAAAACACCAAACAATACAAACTGCAGAATTCTGGAATAGTTGGACCTGATATACGATAAAACATCCACATAGTAAAAAGAAGTTATTTGTAAGATAGTGTTGGTGAAATCAGAATGTGAAGTGGTGCATTAAATATTCAAGCAAATAAACTGATTATGAGTTGTGATATTACTTTCTGCCTGAAATCCAAAATCCTTCTGTGCATACCAGGCAAATCCCACAATATTAAAGTGTCTGAGTGTTATGATCAGGGCAAATGTTCTGATCAAACCCTAACACTTGGAATGAAGCGAAAGCAGGATGGCCGGTTGTTCCTCCATGACGCGAACTAGCAGGTTATCAATGTATTCCTCTAACTCCACGATCCTGGTATCTTTTCTGGAGAGTTCAGCCTGTTGCTTTACCACCAATGTGATCAGTTCCTCCTGTGTGAGCTGGGTGAACGGACCGCTCTCTCCAATCTGGATGCGCAGTGAAATGAAGGAACACAGGGGGGAAAAAAAGAGAGTTAGACAGTACCAATCAAAATTTGGATACATGTGATTGATGTTTTTCATTATCCTAAAAACTATGGATGGACTGACTGATATTCAAATTTATTCAAAGTTATTGGCCGATATCAAAATTCGGTAATATTTTATCATGAAACACATTAAATAAATGAAAATTAAATGAAAAAAAAAATAAAAATAACTAAAATCAATGGTTTTAAATGATACAAGTAAAAGTAGGGTCACAAAATTATGGTATACTGTATATTAAATAGACTCTAAATTAAGTTCAAATTTCAGTATTAGTAATACATTAAAAGTTTTAAAAAATTACCTTTAGGTGAGTGAACATAAAATACAAGAAATGACCATGTAAACTTAAATTCCCCAAACCAGCCAATGGGAATAAAAAAGTTTAAAAAAAAAATGTGAAAAATGTAAAATGAAAAATAAAATGTAAAAATGGGAATAAAAAAATGTGTAACAAAAAACATATGCAAGCAAAATTTGTTTAAGTCTGCTTTCATTTTAAATTTGATTCTAAACAAAAACTAGAAGCAAATTTAAAATGAAAGCAGACTTAAACAAATTTTGCTTGCATATGTTTTTCATTACACATTTTTTGTTTATTCCCATCTGTTAATTTGTGTTAAAACAACTTATTCTTCAATGTGCTAAATCAAGGGTCAACAACCTGTGGCACATGTGCCTACATTGGCATGTGAGCAAACGCGAGAGAGGTGTACTGTAGGTGCACGTGATTTCATCAAGTACAGCATGTTCCTGGATCAACATCTTTGTTGATCCTGGAACAACATTCCAATAAACTAATCAGATATGAGGGACAAGTTTACAGTTTCTGTCAAGTTAAGGCTTACAGCCAGGGTTAGGTGCTTTAATCATTTACCTCTGATATTAGGGATATGTTATGTGTACGTTTAGGTTTTATACTCTAAAAAAAGATGGTTCAAGGTTCTTTACATGTAGTAACAGTTCAATTCAGTACCATATCATCCTGAAGAACCAGAAACTTTTAGTTTAAGAGAAAATGTAGTGTGAAAATGAATAAAGAAAATAAAGTGTGGGCAGCTCTGTTTAGTTAAGGACAACCTTACTCATATTCTCTTCTCCACTAAGTAAGTAACAGATATGGAATTTATGATTCAAATTTATGATTCATTTTTTTTTTTTTTTTTTATTATGACTTTATGCCTAAACATACAGTCAGCGTATGTCAGCGTAACCTAACTAGAGGCAACAAGATATAAAACCAGGAAGAGAGAGGTGTAAAAAAACAACAATATTAATAAGTAATTTATAATATTAATATATATAAATATATATGAAGATACTAATATTAATGAAAATAAATATTGTTTATAAGGTTATTTATAATGCCATTGAGGTTCTATATAAGGCATGGTTCTTTCTGGTTAGCACCAAAAAGGGTTCTGCTAGCCGAAGAACCCTAATTTGGTACTGTTGAGAACCATTTAGGATAGGGTTAGTTCTAAAGTTTCAGAAAGGAAAGGTTTACCAGGATCAACATATTATATTGATCCAGGAACATGTCAGACTTGTCAAAATCACAGTAACAGTTGTATGGATTTCAGTTAAAGTTCCTCACACCTGCAATCTACATTTTGAGGTAATTATTCCTCACAGAAAGACACATTGTTGTATTAAGTTAGGAGCTAAAAATACTATCAAACGAGTCACTAAAAGCACAACACAGATCAAGACGGCGGATGCATCACACAAGTTAAGTCTGTTTGACTGACAGCTTACAGTTTGTTCTGCTGCATTTGTTGTACTTAGCTTTGATATTTATAGCATTAACTTTTTTTTTTCTTTCACAGTGATAGGAGATACGTACACAGAGTCCTTTTAAATAGTCCACACACACACACACACACATCACAATGATGTTGATGTGCAAACTCTGTATACGCAGTGCGGTTCAGTAGGGTCGCATTGGAAATTAAGTTATTCAAAGTTTAATATAAACATGAAAACAATAACTTGACGAATAAAATATAAATTTGGAAAATTGCTTCCGAAATGGCACAAAGAATAACTAGGAAACTTAAAAATGGCACTTCACGACAAAAGGTTGCCGACCCCTGTGCTTAACAACAAAGAGGCAGAAAATACGTAAATGACTGTACCTTTGACTTCTCAGCCATTTCCTTGATGGTGATAGACTTTGGGTCTTTCCCCACTGCGAGAACACTGGAAGACTGGCTCTCTGTGGCGTTCATGGGTTTCACTGGGTGAGGCCTAAGAAAGGAGAGATACAGACATCATCAAAATCAACATGAAAACTTTACTGGAAACAATAGCAAATAACTAAAGCATTTTCATTCATCCGAGAGGAGGATGTATAGAATAAAACCAACCCTTAGAAAAATGTAAATAAAGTAAACAAGGGCCCTTGAAGATGTACCCACTTCATTTTAGTATTCGATTAAAGGGATACTCCACCGGGTTTTCATATTAAACTATGTTATTCCCTTAATTAAGACGAGCTGATGCATACCTCTCTCGTCTCAGTGCGTGCACTCTATCGCTCTGTATTGCCGCAAAACTATGTTAGCACGTAGCTTAGCCCAGTGCATTAAATATGGGCCAAAAAGAGAAGCGACAAAACACTTCCTCGTTTTCCCTATTTAAACACAGTTACTCGATTAGTATAACTCGACCTAGGCTGGTGACACAAAATAAAACGTTGTGTTTTTCTAAGCGTTTAAAATTGATGACTATATTGTATGGCGGAATACCATAAAAAAGTGCTTTAGAGCGCTTCAACTTGGCGCAATAATACCTTCACTCGTGAAAAGTCCTCTTACCGGCTCCCGCTTCCTCGCTCTCCCCCTCCCTCTTATTTCCGTCAATGCAGCCAACGTGACATGCGACAAAGCGGGAGCCGGTAAGAGGACTTTTCACGAGTGAAGGTATTATTGCGCCAAGTTGAAGCGCTCTAAAGCACTTTTTTATGGTATTCCGCCATACAATATAGTCATCAATTTTAAACGCTTAGAAAAACACAACGTTTTATTTTGTGTCACCAGCCTAGGTCGAGTTACACTAATCGAGTAACTGTGTTTAAATAGGGAAAACGAGGAAGTGTTTTGTCGCTTCTCTTTTTGGCCCATATTTAATGCACTGGGCTAAGCTAAGTGCTAACATAGTTTTGCGGCAATACAGAGCGATAGAGTGCACGCACTGAGACGAGAGAGGTATGCATCAGCTCGTCTTAATTAAGGGAATAACATAGTTTAATATGAAAACCCGGTGGAGTATCCCTTTAAGGAGCCGTGGATATGTTTGGAAGGGCGTACCTTATCGCTCTTCTCATACTAATAATTTTGTACTTTAGGGTTGCAAATTTCCTGTATGCACACACAGATACCCTAAGATTTGCGAAAATGTGCATTTACAACCAAAGCACACTACATAGTACACTACATAATCTTTTTCAGATGATAACTAGACGCCTCTTGCTAACGTAAACATGCAATGTAATAGAATACATGCGTCAAGTTACGATGATGCATATGACATTTTTAAATGTTTGTTGCATGCTATGTTCTAACTGTGGTAAAGTAAATACTGTCTCGTTAGCAAAAAGCAGTTCTTGGCATGTTTTAGTAAACCATTCCAAACTAACCCAATGTATATTTCCCAACAAAATCAAAAGATTGATAAAGTGTAAGCACCTTTGTGGTAGAGCAATTAAGGATCATGCAAAACATCACCATCTCCAGAACAAAAATTGTGCCCCAACACTCATGCTCACAATTCAATTTCAGTATTAACATGTGATCTCATAAGTCTTGTATGCATCACTTTTTTATGTAAGCTTCAATGTGTATGTAATGTAAATCTCACATCTACAGCCTTTTATACGCATCCAGTTTCATAAAACATACACGTCAAGATATGGCCTTTAATAACAAAACAGAATGAAAAAAAAAACCCTGTATTATTTGACACTGCCTCAGTTCTATTTACACAAGCTCTTAAAAGACAATGACATTATAAACCACAAAGAGCAACAATCAATAGCAAAACCCCAAGCCCAAAATCCCAACCCTCAAGATCCCAGGAAGCAGTGACCAACCACTAAGCCACCAATTGAACAAATGCTGAAGGGCAGAGATTGATTGGTGTAAAATAAAAGCTGCTGTGATGGGTTTAGCACAATGGGGGCGACTGTTAGAGTGAGTTGTTAGTAGGGGTCGGGAGAACTTCTCACCTTCTTGAATTAGAAACAGCGCTTCCACTACTAACTGGACGAGCCTCAGATGGAGAGACGCAAGCACGGAGTGTAGTCCTGCTCCCAATAGGAGATTCAGATGTTACTAGGTTAGGTTCTGTTCTGCTTGCTGGAGCAAAACTAGTTACAGTCAGCTCGACGTCTTCAGCATCTTGAGAAGACTGAGAAACGGATCTAGCCAGACTACTATTCTCTGTATTAGCTTTCCCAGTAGGTGTGATCGGGCGAGATGAATGTTTCTTTCTAAGTGAAAAATTTCTATGAAATGACGCTCTGGCTTGTTCAGTGAAGCTGGGTGATGTTTTTTCCCGTTCTAATTTTGGTGCTGTGCCGTTTTCAGAAAGATTTGTGAATAGATCACTTGTTCTTTTGTTTGCAAATTTGTTATCTTTTTTATCAATGGTTGATGCCTGATCTTCAGGATTTCCCATTTTCTTTGCGCCCCTTGTGAACAGGCTGTCTACATTTGTGGTCTGCTGTGGTAAAGCCCAGGGATCTTTAGATGTTAAGGTATCACTTGGAAATGGGTCATAAGCAATCATTCCCTTCCCCTCAGGTTCACTAGTCAGATTCCCCACAGGTTGTTCTTCTGGAATTTCAGCAGTTTCAATAAAAACATCTGTAGAAATGTTTTCCTTCTGGCCCTTGTGTGGATTCTCAACTTTGTTTTCTAACATTATGGGTTGAGCTGTTACTTGCTTGTCTGGTTGGACTGGTCTGACTGGGTCCTTAACTAATGACTGTTGTCTGGGTTTGACTGAAGGCACCTCTTTAGCCACATCATCAGTCTTTGAATTAACATTTTGAATGGCTCTGGCAGCTGGCGTAGGCTTCTCTTTTGGCTGGGAGAGTTGATGGTTAATGGCATCAGGAGTCTGAGTCTTCCTTTCCATCTCCTGAGGTATATGTCGACTGTGGACAACGGGAAGTGACTTATTTTCAACGTGATTGGAGTTTTTAGGCTTATTGACGATACCATATAAAGGCTCTCTGATAGGACCATGTTGGACATTAGGCTCAACTGATGGTTCTGGTGTTGCAGGAACTTTGGGTGGAATGAGTGCTTCTTTGTGCCTAGCAGGAGTAGGGGGAGGTACATCATTATTCCTTTGGTGCTGGTTAAGGTTTGCTGAGGTTCTGTCCTTTAAGACCGCATACTTATTGGTCTTCTCTGGCTTCTCTGGTCCATCTACATTAATCTCTTCTGAGAAATCCCAGTTCCTCTGGTTTACCTCTGCAATAATATGGTCCCAACGTGTCTGACTCATCACCCCATGCCTCTTCTTGGGAAAGAGGGTTTCATAGTCTGGAAGAGGAAGAGCCGGTCTATCTTTGGCTTTCTGGGTATGCACTTGCCCCCCATTATCAGGATGGCTTTCAGTCTTGGACGAGCCCCCATGATTACCAGGGGGTAGAGGAGCCTTTCGCTTCTTGTCAGATTTGGGAGCGGAGAGGTTTTCCATGGACTCACTTGACTCAGTGAAAGTCCTCTGAGGTTTAGGAGGTGCCAAAGATGAATGTAGATCAGAAAACATGCCTAAAGACTCAAATGAATCGGTAGCGAGGGATGGGGAAAGTGGAGAAGCGTGGACGGTGCTCGGGGTGTCTACAGATTCTGAAGGGGATTGGGAATGGCTATTATCGGTTTCAGGCAGTACACTCAGAGCCAATCTGCCAAAGAGTAAAAACATAAAATGGTCAACTTACAGCTATACCAGTGCTTACAATCCAATATGTTTCTGCTGGGCATTACTACTGCAACTGAAAAGACTAAGTTCAATCCATTTAATATGTACAGGACAGGACCCTCCGGCCTAAAATGTATTATCACAACTCAATACCTGACAATCTACACTTTATATGAACATTCAAAACAATAAAAACAATGTCTTCTTACTATTAAATTACTTGTATATATATACATGCACACATTTTACTACATAGAAATGCATTTACTATTATTAATGTAAATATTTATCTTTTACTTCAATTCTAGTTTTTAAACAAAACCAGACACGAGGAAAATGTACCCTGCACTTCCAAATCTAAAAGGCCCACAGAAACAAAGACAACAAACCATATTCCTGTCTCTTTCTATTCTCAGCTTTTGGAAAATTAGTTACTCACCATAGTAGTTAATCAGCACAAAAAAGAAGTTCCTAAAATCCCCAGAACTCCCAGTAGAAAAACAAATTTTCTCTAAGACAATGTCTCTTAGTCACACAGTCTGTAAGAGTACAAGATCATCACCTTTCACAACTTGTTTCACTCCATTCCAGAAGATTACCATATGACGATCCAGTACACATTCCTTCCTCTACTAACCAATCAAATGCCTTCGGCAAAACAGGTTAAGTTAGTTACATAGGGTAAAAATATTGTTTAAAGGGTTAGTTCAACCAAAAATGAAAATTAAGTCATTAATTACTCACCCCCATGCTGTACCAACCCCGTAAGACCTTCGTTCATCTTCGGAACACAGATGAAGATATATTTGATTAAAATTGAGAGCTGTATCACTACCACATTGGCTGCCTAAGGGACTGGCAGGGACTGAATACTTTTTGTGCGAAAAAACAAACAAAAATAACGACTTTATTCGACTATTCCTTTTCTTCATTGTTGGCCTGAAACGAGACTTCCTTAGATTTCCACGACGCATGCGCGAGAACTGAACTGAAGTAGTTGAAGGAGATCGCAATTCGTCGTGGAAATCTAAGGAAGTCTCATTTTAGGCCAACAAGGAAGAAAAGGAATAGTCGAATAAAGTCGTTATTTTTGTTTGTTTTTTCACACAAAAAGTATTCTTGTCGCTTGATAAACTTATAGTTGAGCCGCGGTAGTCACATGGGATATTTAAACATTTTCTTCATTGACTTTCTGGGCCGTCAAGAGCCAGTCCCTTAGGCAGCCAATGTGGTAGTGATACAGCTCTCAAATTTAATCAAAAATATCTTCATTTGTGTTCCGAAGATGAACGAAGGTCTTATAGATTTGGTACAGCATGGGGGTGAGTAATTAATGACTTAATTTTCATTTTTGGGTGAACTAACCCTTTAATATAATAAAGCCTATTCTAATCTGAGTGCACTTCGTGGTCATAAAAATGAACAAACACTGAATGCTATAATTAACATATACATTAGGCTATATTTAGTATGCGTTCAAAGTATCACAGGCACACCACTCAACAAAAGATTGAATGAAGAGCTTTTTTTGACTAAATCACTGTGATACAACATATTCCACTTTCACCCAAGGGTATGAAACTCAAGCATACCTGAACAACCCCATCCCCCATCTAGTTGAGAAACAATGATTTCATCCCATCCTCACAGAAAACCCACTCCCATAAACACACACACTTCCAAAATGGGATACAGCTGTGCTGAGAGACGAAAACAAAAATCCTAAAAGCTAATGGAGGTCTTTGAACAAGAAAAGCTTTCAGTAACCTCAATCCATAGCAATTTGAGCTGTTTCACTAAAACTACATGTGCACTTTCTCTCTTGAACTGTTATTATACGCAACTTCAGATCTTCTGTTATTAAATCACCTATTAAAGCAATTTTCACAAATCTAAATGAAGGAGTTCTTCTTTAAGAGCAGTAGAGTAGACAGAGGTGAGAGGAGTCGAGTTTCAGCCTGGGTTTCCCTCAGCTCTCAGGTGACAAGATACTAACTGCATTACAAGGCAGGCTGACGCATCATTCAGCATGCAGCCTCAGCATGAGTTCGGCTGAATATAATACAGACCTCTACATTTTTAGTTTCATTGTAGATCTTATAAGAATGCTTCAAAAACATGCCATTTAAAAGAAAAGCAACTAATATGGAGCTCAAGGGTAGAACAATGCTCAGATAGTTCCCTGGGGTTGATTTAGAGCTGGCTATTATATATATATATATATATATATATATATACACATATATGTGTGTGTGTGTGTGTGTGACAATGTTTTATTTGATCAAAAATACAGTAAAAACAGTAATATTGTGAAATATTATCATTTAAAACAACGGTTTTGTATTTTAATCTCTTAAAATGTAATTATTTCCGTGATGGCAAAGCAGAATTTTCAGCATCATTACGCCAGTCGTCAGAGTCACATGATCCTATAGAAATCATTCTAATATGCTGATTTGGTGCTAAAGAAAGATTTCATAATCTTATTAATATTGGTAACAGTCGTTCAATATTTTTTTTCGTGGAAATAAAATGTATATCTTCTTTGAGGAATAGAAAGTTCAAAAGAACAGCATTTTTTAAAAAATAAATTTTGTTACATAATAAATTTATTTTCTGTCACTTTTAATCAAATGAAATTGATTCTTGCTAAATAAAAGAAAAAAACTCAATAACCCACGAATTTTGAATAGTGGTGTATAATGTAAGAACTAAAGCAGTAAAAATGTAGTTAAATATAATTAAGGCGTTGTTGAAGCATTATTAAAGGGATAGGTCACTTTGAAATTAATTTTTGATATGTTTTAGCTTACCTCAAGGACATCCAAGATGTAGGTGTCTTTGTTTCCACAGTATTTTCAATTTTGACATTTTTTTGGTCAAACCGTTCTTGTCTGTCAGTCATATTATGCAGGTATGGGGGTCCACGTCAAAGAGCAAGCACAGAGAAGTCAAAATTAAACATGATTTAATGACTCGTAAATGCAAGTACACATTGATGGCCTAAGACACGAAACGAGCGGTTTGTGTGAGAAAACGAACAGTATTTATATTGTTTTTACCTCTTGTTAACAGCCATGTCCAACTGATCTGAATCAGACGTCTAACTGAACCTTGTCCAACGTTCCGCCGGAAGTGATCACTTACGGGATTACGTAAGTTTTACCTTTCACTGTGAAGATCTAAACATATTTAGATATACGGGAAATCGCAATGGAAGATGATTTCGATATATCTAAATAGGTTTAGTGAAAGGTAAAACTTCCGAAATCTCTGTGTAAACAATGCGTGACGTAGACACGCGAGAGATCACTTCCGGAGAAACGTTGGACATAATTCAGTTCGGTTCAGTTAGACATCTGATTCAGATCAGTTGGGAAAGGCTGTTAACAAGAGGTAAAAACGATATAAATACTTTTAAATTCGTTTTCTCACACAAACCGCTCGTTTCGTGTATTAGGCCATCAATGTGTACTTCCATTTACGAATCATTAAATCATGTTCAATTTTGACTTCTCTGTGCATGCTCTTTGGTGGACCCCCTAAACCTGCATTATATGACTGACAGACAAGAACAGTTTGACCGAAAAATGTCAAAATTGAAAAAACTGTGGAAACAAAGACACCTACATCTTGGATGCCCTTGAGGTAAGCTAAAACATATCAAAAATTAATTTCAAAGTGAACTATCCCTTTAATACAACATAACAAAGAAATTAACAGATTTTGTCTATTATTTGTCTAATATTTATCTAATTATATTTTTGCAAAAACATTAATGACATTAAACTTACCAGCCCTAACACCTTTTTTTTTTTTTTTTATTAATTAAAACATTATTATTAAAACATCTGAATCAACAGTTGCGGATATACTGCAGGTTAAATAACAAAAGCATTTTTAAATGTCAAATAATGTTAATTGATCAATTTATTATTATTAGTATTATTATGTAGGCCAACACCTTTTATGTATTTCACATTGATGAATTCACCTCTGTCTGTGATTATGATGCACATAAAACCATCCCTGATATAATGTTTAGATTTATTTGAATGCAGATATGGTTTGGATTAACGTGTCGTGTTCTGGTACGTAAAGCAGGTTTTGGGGCGGTCACCAAACAGGACCCATGCAAGACTCTGGTTAAACTAGTGTAACAAGCACTACAGGAAACTTACTGGTCAATCAATCGTGCATTAAAATCATCACAATATTGCTATTAAATGCATTGCTAATTAGTGAATATTCACCCATCCATTTATCAAGAGGAGGTTCATCAATATGTGCACTCACCTTGGCTTGACGGCAGACACTTTCGCTGTGCGACTTGGGAGAGCAATGGCTGTTGGCGTTGGGGTGGTCCTAGCGCCCTTCCGCGGGTCCGTGGATCTCTCTTCTGGGAAAGAGGCGGGGTTATCCGGGGTGAGGGGAATGTCTTCAAACGAGTTTATGGTGGAGGGCGCATCCAGACGTTTGGGTTCATTCGTTGCTTCCTCTCTCTTCTCCTCCTTCTTCCTTCCGATGCCAAAGAGAGAGGAAAGGCGTTCGCTTACTCTGGACTCCTCGTGTTGCCGCGACTCCTCGGACCGCCGCGTCTCCTCCTCCCTGGCCTTCTTCTGCAGCTCTTCCTCTTCCTTGCGCTTCTTCTCCTGCTCTTCAAGTCTAGTTTTCCTCTCTTCCTCTTGTTTTCTCTCTAGTTCTTGCTGCTTCCTCGACTCCTTTTCTTCCTGTCGGTCCAGCATCTCTTGAAGGCTTCTTCCGCCGGGTTTGCTACCCTTCTCCACCGCCTCTACTTGACTGAGGCTCCTGTCCTCTAGAGGGCTCTGTGAGGCAAGAGGAGTCTTGTCTAGCACTTCAGACTTGTATGAGGGGATGCTCAGGCCTTTAATTGAGTCGATGGACATGTCGGAAGCATTTCTTTGATGGTGTTTGCGAACATCCTCTACTGAACCCTTTCCTGAGCTGTTCAGACTGAGTGTGGAGCCAAAAGCAGCTTTCGGTTCTTGTTCCTCAGCATAAACATGGTTGCCATTGATACACAGGTTATTCTGCTCCGGGATGTTTTGTTTAGAGCGGCTCAGAAGAGAAAAGGGGCCGAGAGACGCTTTGCTATCTGAACTGTCAGTGCGCTTGTGTCCCAGAATTTTAAACCTCTTTTTCACTGCAAGAGACAATAGAACAGAATGTGTATTAAAACAGAAATGTCCATGAGGTCCAAAATGTATTTGGATAATGTCAGAAACTTATATTCATATATTTGGACTAGATGCATAACCTTTGACCTTACCATCAGGAGAGTCCACATTAAGGCCGGACGATCTGCTGCTGCTGAGTGAACTGTTCTTCTCAGGCAGGGTGCCCAAGGTTGACATGGACTGGGACACATTCCTTTGGAGATTTGTCTTTGGTCCAAAAAAGGATTTCAGTTTCGATTTCTTCTTAAGAGTGTCTGAAGCACCCTCTCCTTCTCCTTCACTGTCGGTTCCCACTGAGGAGGGCACGATCGCAGAGACAGAATCTGACAGGCCGTCTTTCTTCTTACCACGAATTTTATCCTTGAGCTTGGAGATGCCAGAGCGAGGTTTGTCTGTCATGGAGAGGTCAAACATGCTGGCCGACAGGTTGTTCCTCATGAACTGAATGTCCAATTGAACTTCCCCTCGGTCCTTCTCTTGTTTCCCATTCTTATCCACCAGCTTGTACCAACTGCAAAGAGAATCAAACAAGGTTTTCGTTAGATTGCATGACAGTTGTGCTCTTTTTTTTCTTTGTTAAAGGGATCCTATCACGCTTTTTGACATTTTCAACTTTCTTAAAGGACAACTCCGGCGCAAAATGAACCTTTGGTCTAATTACACATTGCTATCTAGTCAACCGTTTTCTGAGATTTGTTTTCATGATTGCCGAATGTAAATAGTTTTATCTCTAAAAACAGTTTAGCCTATAACGCTAGTACAATGCTAGTATATGGGGCATAGAGTAATGACAAATAAAAATCGCTTGTTATTACCACTAACAAGGCTCAAAATAGCCCCACAGTAACACGACAGCATAACAAGGATCCCTACATTCAAACCGAAGCATTGAGAACGTTGTCAGTGTCCATACAGTTTAATAAGAAGATATTTTATACACACAGTCAACTTCGCGAATACAGGAAGAAGCCATCTTTGAAAAAAAGTCTCTACCAGTCGATCTACGAGCGCCGATCCAAGTGCGCTGAACTGTGCAGAATCTCATAGGGTCCGTTGTTTCCACAAACACAAACCGTTTTCTTCTCTTCAATATATACACGTAGCCTACTGTTCGCGCTCACCTTATCACCTTATTCACATCTCACCAGCGCACTTGGATCGGCGTTCGTAGATCGACTGGTAGAGACTATTTTTCCAAGATGGCTTCTTCCTGTATTCCCGAAGTTTACTGTGTGTATAAAATATCTTCTTATTAAATTGTATGGACACTGACAAAGTTCTCAATGCTTCGGTTTGAATGTAGGGACCCTTGTTATGCTGTCGTGTTACTGTGGGCTATTTTGAGCCGTGTTAGTGGTAATAACAAGCGATTTTTATTTGTCATTACTCTATGCCCTATATACTAGCATTGTACTAGCGTTATAGGCTAAACTGTTTTTAGAGATAAAACTATTTACATTCGGCAACATGAAAACAAATCTCTGATAACGGTTGACTAGGTAACAATGTGTAATTAGACTAAAGGTTCATTTAACGCCGGAGTTGTCCTTTAAGTGTAATAATGTTTCTATTTGAGGAGTTTTCTTCCGGTAATGTACACATCACGATATTCCTCATTTAAATAATTTCCGCCTAAGGCATACATAAGTTACATTAGTGTGTTGAAACTCGCGGTACAGCAAACCAATCAGAGCACTTTTTTAGTTTTCAGAAGGAGGGGCTTCACAGAGAAAGGAACTAAACAGAGTAGGGGTGTAACGATACACGTATTCGTATTGAACCGTTCGGTACGAGGCTTTTGTTTCGATTTTCGGTATGCATTTCTGAACCGAACGGTGCGTTGGACCATTTTTTGTGCGGACCAAAATTTTGTTATTTCATATGTAGCTGCAACGCGCGTGGCAAGTGCGCTCATAATGTAAGAGATGCTGGCGTGATCACAACATCAAATGGCAAATGTAATGCAAGCGGAACTAAACTGAGCTACTCGTGATTGTGTGGTTGACGGACTGTTTATCAGTTTGGACCAATGCAGCGCGAGGCCGCGAGTAGATCTTAATCAAGCAGCACTGTTACTATAGCGGAAGAAAAAAAATTGAATTCGCCACTGAAGTAATAACATTGCTGCGAGATCTAGTAAGAAACATTCACATTTCTCTGTTATTAACGACTCAAACAGCGCTGATGTGGAAACCAGGAACAAACATTGTGCCATGAATGAACTATCCAGTCCACAGATCAGCAACATTCACCATGGATTTACTGTATAACACTAGTGTAACCAGTTTGGCAGGAATAGTAGGCTATAATGCTTTCTAGTAACATTACGTCTGTTTTATTTTGACATTATGAATACAATTGCTGCCCTACTACAATATTACATATGCTGTTTTGTTTTATATGCTCCTAATGGCTCTTTCAGACTGCACGATTTTCAAAGTAGTCAGGTCGCTGCTCTTTTCACACTGCATGACTATCTTGGCCAGCATTCAGTCGCTGCTGTGTTCACACTGGACGATGGATCGGCGACAGAAGGTTTCACACTGCATGACTTTAGAAAAATCGCCGACAGACTCTGTCTAGCACGCTGCACGCAAACTACATTTCACAACAAACACGCGTGAGATATGAAAAGGAAACAACGCGCGACACCACACGTGCAAGACCGGACTTCTCACGTGAGACTTTTTTTTTCGACCCGGTTGTGGTACAGCTGGTGAAACAGACACGAGTGCTCCTGCCAAATTTCTACTAATTTTTCTTCCATTTATTGTGTCCAAATAGACCCAGAAGAAGCTTTTTTTGTTGAAACAATGCCATATCATGTTGATATGTGATCTATAACTCCTCCCCGAACTCCCTGCTGCTCTGTATCTTGCTCTCTCACTGGCTGCCGGTGATCGCCGATGTAGTTTTCAGTCAAAACACTTTTCACACAGCAGGATTTTGAATCGCCGACAGGTCCAGATATTTAGCATGCCAAATATCTCACGGGCGTCGGCGACTCGTCGGTGATTCTCTCAGTTCGCGTCTTTGTTCATTCACACTGCGTGATTGTCACTCGCGTGAACGAGCGCCGATTTGCCTGTGATTTCGGGCATTTGTCGGCGATTTCTCAAAACCTGTCGGCGAGCCAAAATCGTGGCTAAAATCATGCAGTCTGAACTCGGCATAAGAAAAGTCAAGTATAGCTGCATCATTGCTCAAAGTAAAAAAATATCATACTTTATGATGTTAGTTTTAATAAAAATATAATAAAGAAAATTAAATCAAGGACATTTCTTTCTTTTCGCTTTATCGGAAACGTACCAAACTGTGACACAAGTGTATCGTATCGAACTGCAACGTGAATTTTGTGAACCGTTACACCCCTAAAACAGAGCCTTACTGAGTAATACTGACGGACTGGGGAAAAAAGGTGTTGCAATAATGTAAAAAATTATGTGTTTTTTATACATTCAAATATGTAACCCTATCCTGGTAGACTCCAAAAACAAAATCAAGACTTTGAGGGCATAATAGGTACCTTATAAGGCTTTAAATAAGCTGAAATATTTTTTAAAAAATGACAAAGCCTTATTAATCACAATAAAGTAAATAAAACTATTAGAAATATTTTGTGCTCATTAAAATAAAGCTAAAATAAATTATGAATATTAGAAAAAGAACACTTTAAAAAGGTAATAACTAAAATAAAAGTTGAAGTTGAAGCACTAAAATGACTAAAATTTAAATAAAGTTTTAAAAATGTTAAATAGTAATAAAAAGGCACATACAATTACTAAATACTACCAAATACTAGTAAATAATGCTAAAATAATACTGCATTTGTTATGCAAGTAATTTATGATTTAAGTGTAATTTTGGAAACATTTCATATGCACTGTTGCAAATTTTCTTATGTAACGAAAATGTTGCATATATTATTTTTATATAAGATTTAAAAAAAAAGAGATATTTGTTTGTGTGGGGAAAGAACTGTAGAAAAACCCTGTAATCTCCAGCTGGTTGTCCATTATTATAATTTGCATTATGTAAGAATAAGGCCACAGAGTGATCATTAGCATTCATTATACAAAACGAATGCAGCACCTGACCATTCAAAACTAAATAGAGAGTCGAACATGACTTTAGCATAACCCTATGAGCACACATGATTAAGTGGTTAAGATCTGTGGTATGTATGACACCCTTTTGTTTTATTATCCAAGCTAAATTCATTGATTTAAATGGTGGTGGGATCAAAACTAAATTACATACAAATAGAGAGGCCAGATTTTGACATGGGAGTTGAACCCTGTGCCAGTAAATGATCCAGGTCAGAGAAGCCCTCCTACTGATGAAATAAAGGGGGGAAAAAAATGTCTTTGTTTAGCCTACGCTTGTCCACTCATTTCTGCTCTGCAATTTGTTCAGCAGAGCAGCAGATAGGAGAGTTCTGGAGTTCAGTATCTGTAATCATGATCAAGCCATTATCCACCCACGCTGTTGTCATAATAGACTCCTGAACACTGGGATCACGGACAGTCTACAGTCACGGACACCAAACAGCGGCTCCCACAGATGAATCACATTAAACATGGCATGTGCTCAGAGGAAGCAGCCGCTGCAGAATTCCAAGCATTTAGGTTTGGACCCCCACAGGACAAGAGTTTTGGACAGAATGGTACAACAATTTTAAGGAGGAAAAAAATTCCTTTTAGAATAACACATAAAAGCGAATTCAGTACTTTTAAAAAGGAAAACGTATTACTGAAATAATATATATTTATAGAATTTGGGTTTGAAAACCTTTTCACTCAACTCTAACCCTACATAGTTCATTATTATTACTCACTACTTTAATCTAGGCTATAATTAATTACCAGTGTTTGGTAAGTTACACTAGTAATTAATGTCAAGCAACTAATAAGCAACTTAATGTCAAGCAACTAATAGTACTATTTACTTTCCAAATCCCATATCAACCACAATCAGTTAAACAATACATGACACTGCAGTTTTATTTCTTTCAAATATAAAATTGTATAAATTATGCTTGATGTTAAATCCAGATTGTGTTAGATAGAATTGTTCTATAGTCTAGACTAATTAATGCAATTACATCAGAAGTCTCATTAAATTAGCCAAAAATTAAGAGTAATCCCTTACTTTACTTTTTCAAGGGACAAGTAAATAAATTATTCATTACTTAGTAATGCATTAATTACACTGTAACACTGGCACCTTAAAATAAAACGCAACCATTCATTCGTATTAAATATGATTCAGAAAACAGTATTCATTTTGTTGTAATTTCCAAATATAAACACTAAAATGAATGTTTAAATGGTAAATGCACTGAAGATTAGCAGACAGGCTGTCAAATCATAAAGTGATATGCTGTTTTATTTTTTTCTCACAAAAGTCAATGTATTGTGGCCAGCTATTACATTAAGACTGTGCCTTTAGTACTAGTATGATCAACTTGCAGTTAGTTAATCAGCCTTATGTTTTGATATCAAATTAGAC